ATGAAGTAAATTATTAAAAATGTATAAAAAACGTTCACTGGCTATATAAATTTAAAACTTTCAAGCTTTCGGCTGTCAGACTACAGCCTTAGATGGATAAAAATAGAAAAAATGACAACTACAAAATCATATATACAAAAATAGGTGGCACTATAAAATATATTAAAATGGAAAAATAAAGTGTAAATAAACTAATCGTTCTTTTTTAAAGGAATAGAGTATTGATCGTCAATCACTTGAGAATTATTTAAGTCAATAGAGTGAATTAAAGGCCAAGTGTGTTTAGCAACATTGAAACCAGACTTCACATTCCTCACGTGTTCTTTTTTCTAGTTTGAAAGCATCTGCCAGTCTTGCCTACATATCTCCATGGACAGTTGCCACAAGATATTTTGTAGACCAAATTTGGTCGAAGTTCAATGGGAGGTCAGGATTTAGGAGAGGAAAAAGTCTGTTGTAATGTCTTGACTGGCTTGCTGCAACTCGAATATCATGCTCTTGAAGAAATCTAGTGAGAGGCTGAAAAATTCCATTAATGTAACAGACTGCATAACTAGAGGAATCAGAGGGTATGGCTCATTTGAAAAACATGCAAACAAGTTCCTCAGGTGCTGGGATGAATTTTGTGCACTGGGTAGAAGAATTCTTCTTTAGAATGTCAGGGATGACATTTAGGGGGTAACTGTTAGATAGCAGAACATCGGTGACATGTTGTGGATCAACCCTTAATCTGTCCTCACTCATGATTTCCACGCGTCTCTCGAAGGATGAGCTCCGAGTGAATTGTTGTTCCCATTGAGAAATTTCCGTTTCTTGTACTAGCCAGGAATATGATAATGTCACAACAATTTGCTATCCATTTTTTGGTCCATTATCTGTCAAGTGGTCACTTACGGGAGGTTAAAAACAAAGGAAAATTTCAAACTTTTAGCCCTAAAAGTGGTTGTGGTCACTTATGAGAGGTGGTTGCTTACAAGAGGTTCCAAATATAGTAATTTGACTTGGAAACTTTTGGTATTTTGTAAAACTGGTCGCTGAGGAGAGGTGGTCACAACGGGAGGTTTGACTCATATTTTGGTTTTGTAGTGCACAAATTCTCTTAGCCTCAGCATACTATAAGAATCTCGACTGACGGTCATGGGCACAGTTGCTCAAAAAACTAGATACTTGGCAGTCAAAAGTTCATAGATAATCAATTTCCAAAAAAATTAAATTGTCATTATTAATTGAAACCTCCTAAGAGTGTTTGAGTATTTTGATCTTTGGTCAGAGACAGGGCTCAAAGTTAACGACCAACTGGTCGCATATGCGACTAGATTTTTGGCTGTGCGCCTAAAAAATCATGTGTGGTCGCACCACCGTGCCTTAAAAGCCAAAGTACAGTGCGACTTCTCTAGTGCTTACTCACCTGACCATACTAACATACTCAGATTGATAAATGTAAATATAAACATAGATATAACACAACCAGGCGTCACATAATAAAGTTGCACCATTTTCCTTTGATGTGTGTTCTATTCGTCATATTTAAGCCCAATTTCCCAGTGGATTCT